CAAGTTTTATTTCTGAAAAAACTACTTTGTAAAGCTTTGGGGATGAGCAGGGATTATGAAACTATATATCCAAAAGAATATTATTTAACAGTTATTTTTTAAAGTTTTATATAAAAAAACGCGACATAACATAACGGGGGAGTGTTTTCTAAACTCATTTGTAGCGTATATGAATTGATCAACAAAAATTTCTAGAATTGATTTCCAAATTTGGAAATCTCCCTGACTGTAATTGTAACGGTAGTGCTGTAGTGCTGTTGATAAATTTCCACTTTAAGCAAAATTTTATTTTAATTATTATTAATTGTAGAAACATCAATATAAGTTAACATGGGTATAATGCAACAAGGTGAATATTATATTAAAGCCACCTATAATAATACCACCCGCTAGTTGTGACATCATTGTAAAAATGGATGATTTTATTGTTCCAAACTGATTTTTATTATTATTTATACATGGATTCTTCGTTGGTAATCAAATCTTTATTCAATTTTTATTCTTTTGCCTTTGGACTCTATTTTTTCCAATTTTTTCTTTTCGCATTCAATCCTCCATAAGTCACTTTGTTTCAATGAAGAAACTGGTTTAAAAGAAATAACAGCCTTATGTGTATTTCTCCGAGTAGCTTTTAAATTTACAATACATATACAATATATATTTGCATGGATGTAAAAATTTTTTAGAAATTAAAATAAACTTGTAGTTTATAAAAAAAAAATTACCTGCATGCATCACAACTGCCCGACAATTTGTAGTTATGCAATCTTTGGATAAAGCTTGATTCATGCCCATTATTGTACCTCTGTTTTAAAAGGAAATCAAATTTTTAATACATTCATATGAAAAAAAATTACATATTAAATAAATTATTAAATTTCTTACAAATTAATAATGTCATATGGCCCACGTAATTCTATTGCTCTTTGTGCTTCGCTTGAGATAATGATATTTTTACCACGAGTAACTCTAACCAAATTCTGAGCATTTGAAATAAGATGTTGTCTAGATATAGAATCTATTTGAGATATCGTAATAATTAAAATAAAATAAAATAAAATAAAATGTTGATATCAAAAGTTTTTTAATTTAGGCATAAATCAGTAAACAAACCTCTGATGGTTGGAGAATAACAAATCTCAAAGAATATACCACGATCAATTGCCAAACCTACCATACCATGCTTCAAATAAAATGGCAAGCGAGATCCCATCTCAAGTGATATGATATCTACATCAAAATTACTACAAGTATTTTGAAATGACTTTTCATTGATTGGTTGGACAGCAAAAATATCATATGATAGAATTGTATTGTTTGATGATGTCTGTTAATTTAAAAAAATAAGATAAAATTAATGATAATAGGTAATGTAATATATATATATAATATGTCAATTATTATCATCATATTTAAATACTAATTACCAATCCATAATTTTGACTTGAATCTTCAAGTACTACAGTGAGTCTGGTTAATTGTTCTAGTTTAACATCTCTTCCAGAATTTTCATAAATATCAAATTTTTTGATGGGATTTGTCTCTAAACAAATACAAATATTTTCTTAGCCATGTAACTTATATCAGATTTTATTATAAATAAAAAAACTGAAATACTTTGTTAGGGTTGACTTTTCCGATAATTGTATGATTATGTGCAATTACTTGATAGCCAACTAGATTAAAGTAAATAAAGTTAAATATTTTAATATATTTTTAATACTAAAAATTACAAGGTTACATTTTGTAAGCAAAGCAACTTTTTTATAAAGTTCATTTTGTTGATTTGTAATATCTAGTTTGTACACAAGGCTAATCTGACCTGCTCCGCCCTATGGATATGATGATGCCTTCGATACCAGGGGGGAGGCGCATGGCCCTGGAAGTTTACCGAGACTGCACCAATCATCAATGACGCTTTTCACTAATCTTCCCAGACCAGAGATGGCCGCTGGCACGCTGGCCGAAAAGTCGCCTGCAACGATCCTACCTCCAGGTAAGGATGGCACTGTGACCAAGTCACAACTCTGCTGATGAATATTAAGAGAATCTGCAACTTGTTTCAAGCACAGGGAGAAATTTGCATTCATAGTGAAGTTGTGGCCCTGATATTGTTCTGGAATCAAGAGGAAAGTTGTAAAATAGTGCTTGTTTTGTACAATCTTTTTCATAAATGCTCTGTTTTTTTGATACTAACCAATTTATAATTTTGGTTAAAGGACTGAACGGGGTTTTTGCCCAATCAGTCCCCTCCCCTATAAATTAAATTTATATGGTAATATCTTTGTCAGCTAAGTGCAAACACTCATCCCTGGCATCAAAGTGGAATTCTTTACACTTTTTTCAAAAAGGATCAAGAAAACAAGTTGGATTTTGGTATGTTTTGTACAGATTAATCATTTTTCAAAATTTCTTTTTCTTGGTAAATTTTTAATTTGGTTAACCAGATTTATTGTTTTTTAAACAGGGTAAGTTACTGGACTTTCACCCAAATCATTCCTTGTCCTAGGTAGGTGTGCCCTGACAAAACAGAAACTCAGGTTGCAACCTTCCACCTAAGTTGTAGACACCAACTCTAGTGGAACAGCAAACATCATAAAGATGCCAACTCTTGTCAACAATCAATGCTGTATGGTAGCAGCCAAATCTGGTCTGAGGAGAAGACAAGAAAAGTTTTGTTCACCTTGTAAAAAAGCTTTTCAACATGTTCAGGACGCTTTCACTTGTGGAATAAAGTTTCATGATGCTGAAAAGTGCTTGATTGCACTGTACTGCATGTTTATGATAGGAAAGTTTTACTAAATCTGACACCTGTGATCAATATCATCAGATTTATTATTCATAAGGAACCATAATTGATAATCAGGAAGAATAATTTATTATTGTGAATCCCAGAGATCTGGGTAGACATGCATTATTAAAAGTTTCATTTTTGCATGGCCTTGGTATTGTTTATTACCTGGGTGATGCAATTGTTTGTTATGTCAATGATGATATCAAATGTATTGAATAATAATCATGATTATCATGAATATTTGATGGATGGAGGCATTCACATACAAGGAAATGATTAAATAGCTAAGTCATGTTTATTTTATTAAAGATGTATGATTAATTATATTTAAAAATTTATTAAAAAGATTTATTTTTAATATATTTGTTTTAAATGTATAAAAAAATTTTTTTTTAATTAATGTTTTTGATAGTCCAAAGTCAATCATTTTTATACACTTCAAATTTTCTTTATTTTTTAACAATTAACAAAAATATAGGAAATTGAAATTTGCATGCATAATTACATACAAAACACTAATTTTAAAATAAAAAAATCAGCTTTACTGTTTTAGTATAATTAACACAATAATGATTTTCTTCAATAATTCTCTTTTATTTATTAAGATATAATTTTCCATGATTTTATCTTATCCATTTTTAATAATTTCAATTGGTTTTCATGTTTTTTATATCAATTTATTGAATATATATACTTGAAAATATTTTTGATGGATCTACTGTAAGAATCTCTTTAAAATCAATGTTTTCTACGAACAGATATTTTAATTATTGTAAAAATACAAGTTAACTTTTATTAATTACGGAAAGCTTATCATTTTATACAAAAATGCATAATATAATATTACAATTGAATAAATAAATAATTATCAATCATAATAATATCTTAGAACTTCCCGGAAAGCTGCGGCATTTAATTTGTAGCTTGTATACATAAAGAAAATAATATAAAGAATAAATAAATAATAGTATAAGTAATATAAGCAATAATATAAATATAATACGGGTAATAATGATGACAATAATAACGTTAATATATTAATAATAAGAAAAGTTGTACAGTAACGTTTCGTTTTAATTTAACGCGTTATGCGAAATAAATTTTGTACTACTGTGCCACATTTCATAATGGAAGAAAAGAAACTGTTACATCTATATACTCAAATTTAATTCTTTTGCTCATCACCACAGGACCAATTTTAGAATCTCTTCAATTTTAAAATAAATGAATACCTAC